GAATTTTTGTAGGCGAATTGGATTAAGAAGTAGTGTAATTTCATGGTTGGTTTTAGTAGCTTGATATACCATCTCGAGCGTAAAATAGGTGGTTTAGCAACTGGATCATCGAGTTGGATTTTTGAGCAGCTTTAAAAAGCATGCAAGACACGTTTCCGAACGGTTGCAGCGTCTGGCCGCGGTCACCGCAACTTGGTCGGTGTCGCCGCAAGCAAACACGCATGCACCCACACGCACCGCCGCCCAGGCCTGCACTGCCGTTGCCACGCCCTGGCATGCGACTCGTGTGCACACGCGCACGTTGGAGCCCAGCGAGCCTGGCCGCTCTGCCCACCGTCGCGTCCGCCTGAGCTGCGCTGCCTCCTCATGCTCACCTGTGTGGGACCATGCACGCGTGGCCATCTTTGGTCTAGCCATGGCTAGCCTATGCCATGGCCAGCCTAGGCTACTGTCGTGCGGTGCCGCTCTGCCCGCTGTCTCGTCCGCCTGAGCCACTCTACTCGTCATCGCGTCGAGCTGCATCCCCGGTCGCGCTGCGCTCCGACCGCCACTCGCACGGCCACTACTGTTGCTGACCCTTCATGGCTGCACGCGCATGGGCTTGCTCCGTCTGCCTTGGCCATCACATCGTGCTCGATGCGACGTTGTGCTGTTGCTTCTCTCGGACCGACACCATGCCACTGCGGCGCAAAGGACTGAGCCACCGTCGGCTTGCGAGTTATGGCAATGTGGCCAACCATTCCTGTGCATGTTTGGCTAGTTCCCCATCGCCCTGTAGCACGTGTGCATTTGTGCTTCAAATTGACAGCCGCGTTCCGCCACGACAATGTCGAGCCAAGCCATGCCGGCCGGCCCCTGTTCCGCTGTCGCCATGGTCGTCAGACCCGCGCCTCTTAATTCGGCCTAGTGGAGCCACCTCAATCCAAATAGCCCCGTCCATGGCTTCGCTGCGTAGTTAGCCAACCACCTGACCCCAACTTGCAGTGAGCCTTGCCGTGCCATGCTCCAATTTGGAGCTTCCCTCCCGTCGGGTCAATAAGACCGTGTCGGTATGCGTCGACGGCAAGCCCCCTCTCCAGTGCTGCTCGCGTTCAATTCGTTGCACTGCCAACTTCACCTCCACCTACTCATCACCCTGCGCACCCTTGCCAAGTCGCTACCACCGCCTAGTCACCCCTGACGCAGCCTTGCCACCACCATGCACCACCGCACCGTCCGTGCGCACGCGGCCAGCTCGGCTCAGGCCATCTTCGGTCGAACCGCCACCTCGTCTGGGTCCGTGGTGAGTGCCTAGAGCTCACTCGCTGTCCTATTTACCTCGGCGTTGTTGTAACTCACCGGAACGCCACCGCTGTGATTGCAGGAGCCCCACCACCATGGTCCGGCCTTACTGCGGCGTCCCAGCTCACGCTTTCTTCGCCCAGCGTCTCGTGCTCACGCCTAGGTAGATATCATCTCGCATTTGAGGGCGGGAAGGGACTGGCCTGGCCAGCATAACTGCCCGGTGCTAGCGCCGCCGCACCGGTGCGCGCGCGGGGGGCCCGAGGGTATGGTCGTGGTAAAGATGGAAAGGGGGAGGGACGTAATTATAAGATAGCAGACTGGCAGAATAGTGCTCTTAGTGCTCGCGTGATTATCGGGTAGGTCGAGGGCATTTTCGCAAGATGACCGGCGCGGGGGGGGCCGTTACTTGTTCTTTCTTACTTAGCATAAGGCCTATGATACTTTGCAAAATTGTAAGATATTCTCAACTCCATTTCAGTGATCTATATCTGGACTGGACTTCTGTCAAAATATCCCGGATACGTAAACTACGTTAGGGTAAATTTTTACTTGTACTTGTACACTCATCAAGCTTCCAACAACTGAAGCATATGGAACCATGTTCATTTGATCATTCTAGGGTTAGGAACTTCGGGGTGGGGCTAGCGGCTATCGATGACCTCATGTCTTGTGCCTCAGCCCCCACCGTCCTTTTATGGCACTGCGCGACGGAGGCCCATCAGCCAAGAGAACCGGCTGAGCCCCCCCTACGACTCTGCACCGGCCGGAACCCGTATGCGTCGGGCTCGACGAACATGCGCACAGGATGCACAACAATGATCGCCAGAAGCGCAGGGGGCTGCTAAGGAGGCCACGCCTCATGGAGGCGGGCCGTCCCTGGGACATGGTTCAGCCGCCGTTGCCGCCGACGATGCTAACGGCGAGGCGGCACGACGGACTTGCCCCGTTCTAAAACGGTCGCATCAGAGTCGCCAAGGGAGGCCTCCAAGTCAGTCAAGTGCCGGCGCTCCATGTCCCCCGGCGAGGCGTCGAATGGCTCAGCATCTAGATCAAGGGAGCTTGACCGGAGGACCAAGCGAGCATGCGCGGAGGCCGTCAGAGGAGGCAACTCCGGGAAAGAGGACCTTTCGGAGCTACGAAGCGCCTCCTCCTCCTCGACCTCATCTTGGCCATAGCATGCCTCTCGCATCCCAGGCCAACCGGTGTTTACCTTTATAACAACTCCTTTCCCTACTTAATGGTCATGAAAAAATGTTAAGTGTCGTTCCCGGCAAGGAAGAAGCTCTAATTAAGCGAGTAAGACTGTCTCCAACAAGGGACCCATACGGGAATCCAAATCTAAAATATGTAGCAAGAGACCCAAGATCAGCCTTCAACAGAGTATCTATACGGGAGATCTATTTTTGGTTGCCTGAGAGGCACAACCTAAATATGAATATCCTCTCTCCTGAAAACCTATTTATAGAAAGAATTTACTTTTTAGTGCTGTTGTTAAAAAAGATGTCGAACTACCTATAGCCCTGTCCATGGATGAATAGGTTGAATTTTGACTATGGGGGTGGCGCTGGCTTACGCCGCAAGCCTCAGCGATCGACGGCCTAGCGGACTAGGAATCTGGGACCAACTATGTCAAGTCAGGCTCAGGCACATCCGCACATGAACATGAAGGATTTGTGCTCAAATTAATTAATCTACGGAGCACGCATAAACTGTGAGTGAGCGAATGTTTCAAGAACTCATGCACGGAATCTAGTTTCCTTTCCTAATCGTTTAAGGGCATGTTTGGATGGTTTCAGATTCTTTAAAAACCAGTTTTACCTCTAATTTCTAAAATCTGGATCGTGAGTAAAAACTAGTAGAGGTGTTTAAATCCTCCGGTTTTTAAGAATATGACTTTATTTATTGCTCACAGGGTCATAAGAAAATAGCAAAAGCTAGGTATCAATTGTTTCTTTTTAAGGATCTGACAAAATCTGACATAATAAATTAGGCAAAAACTAGCCTATTTGGATCCCAAACAATTTTCAAAAACCAAATTTTTAAAAACCGGTGGATCCAAACAAGGCCTAAAAAGAACATCACAGAGTGCAGTTTCTAAAAGAAGCAAAGCGAGGGAAATTCGAAGGCAATTTAAAAAAAATGTTAAGAAGCTTAGACTTTGTTTAGTAACTCCTCTAAAGTTTAGTCCCTATCGACCCCGTTCGGTTTACCTTATAATCCGTATTATTCAGCTTGTTTTTTTAGTCGGAACAGTATTTTTCTCTCACAATAATTCAGTCAGAACAGTGTTTTTCAGCCAATTCAGCCAAGTTTTAGCAAGCCGAACGGGGCCATCAAATCAGATGTTTGGATACATGCATGAAGTATTAAATATAGACTAAAAAATAACTAATTGCACATATTACAACTAATTTGCGAGACGAATTTTTTAAGCCTAATTAGTCTATAATTTGACAACGTGGTGCTACAGTAAAGCTACAATAACATGTGCTAACGCCGGATTAGTTAGACTTAATAAATTCGTCTCGCGGAATACTAAGGACTTCTGTAATTTATTTTATTATTATTATCAAATCTTGCGGCATATGTATGGAGCATTAAATATAGACGAAAAAAAACTAATTACACAGTTTGGTTGGAAATCGCGAGACGAATCTTTTAAGCCTAATTAGTCTATGAAAAACCTTAAGTGCTACAGTAACCCATATGTGTTAATGCCCGATTAATTAGTATCATTAGATTCGTCTCACAGTTTACTGATGAGATCTGTAATTTATTTTTTTTATTAGTATAAAAAAACCCCCTCCCAACGTCCTCCGACACGTTCGATATGACACACTTAAATTTTCACTTCACCGTCTAAACACCCCCTTAACGGGGTGGGAAAATTCGCAGTGAAAAGATGCGATGGTTCACACGCACCCGACGGGGCGCATTCAATTGCAGTGAGAACCCGAGGCATCGCGACCCTTGGCGTGCCGCAAGTCCCAACGCTCGCTCGCTCCCCCTCCGCGGCCAATCTGCCTCCCTGCGGCGCATCCTCGCCGCGTGCCTCGCGCTGGATGGAGCTCTCGTGCCGCCCGTCGCCCTCTGCTTGCTTCGGCTTCGCTGCAGCAACCAACCACCCGCTTCCTCCTCGTGCAGTGCAGCCTGTTTCATCAGCCGTCGCGGCACGCTGGAACGGGGAGGCTGCGGCGGCGGCGCCGGCAGGGACATCCAACTGTGGGTCAACGTTACGCAGAGACCAGGCGGGGCGGCGGGCGGCTGCCGGAGGACGTTGGCAGGCGCCAGCCGGCGTTGGCAGTGCCATGGCGTGGTCAGCACGCCAGCGTGGCAGCGCCATTGCCAACAGTAACACCGCTCCAACAACAGTTTCCTTCCAATTTTGCCAAATCCGACTACGGGATATAAACAGCGAAATTTACTTCCTTTATTTTTAATTTTAAAAAAAGTCACTTTGGAAAGTGGACGCAACTGAAACCGACTCCGATCCGCGTTCGAGTCCGCTTCAGACGAAGTCCCGCCGCATGCACGCGTCCTCCTCCGCCATATAAGGCGACGACCACGCGGTCGCCGTTGCAACTCTCCATCGCTAGCCTAGTTCGATATCGAAAAGAACTAGACATCCACACCGCCGACGCGCCAACGACGCTTACAGCAAGCAAGCTAGCGCGCCCCGCTGAGCACGCATATCGATCGTCCGGCGCCTCGAAGCCATGGCGGCGGCAGCGCCCGGCGCCGGCTGCAACACGGGCAAAGACGGTGTCCCACGGCGCATGTCGAGGGCCGAGCTGGTGAAGCGCTGGGAGGACGTGTTCGACAACGTGGGCGACGAGGAGGCGATGGAGCTGTTCATGACACTGCTGCTGCGCGACGCCCGGGCCGAGTACGCCCAACAATCCCGGAAGGAGGAACAGGAGGAGGAGGAACGGCGAGCGCGCGTCTTCGAGCCGTTGCATCTGCCACAGCCCGGCTCAGCGCCGCCGTCGGTGGCGGCGCCGCCCCGGGTGGACCTTACCGTTGTGTTGGGCCTGCGCGCGCCGCCGCACCTGCTGCCTCGCAATGACCAGAGGACGACGCCGTCGTCGGCCCCGGCGGTGGACCTCGGCCGTTCCGTGAAACCCGCCAAGAACACCCGTGGCGGCGTGTAGCCTGCCTGCGTAGCGTTCGTTCGCGGCTGCCGGCTTTGAGCATCGATCCGTTAGACTGATCGCGTTCTTCGATGTCTCTCCTCCAGGCTCCACGATGAGTGATCGGATCGATGAAATGATCGATCATGCCACTTCTATTTTTCTTCTTTTGCTTCACTCTACTTGTAGGGAAAAAATTACTTGTGTAGTTTAATGTCAATTCCGTCTTCGAAATGCTTTTCCTATGCCGTACAGACCGCTACTGCATAGTACGTTATACCTTCCGGTAGGAATACACATTGTGCTTTATTGAAAGTAAAGAAAGATTTCTTTTCAGGTTATGCTCGTGTCTTGTAATTTGTAAACTCAAATTCCCTACCGAATTCGGAGCTGCCCTTGTCAGAGGAAGAACCGAAAATGAAGGTCCTTTTGCCTGTACTCTGTATTTTTTAGTACATTTCTCCGGTCGGGTATGCACTAGCTTCCCTTATCTTTGTAGCCGAATCGGACAATGCCCACTGTCTGGAAAAGAACTCGATCTACCATATCTTGTATTAGTAAAAACTTGCTCCTATAGGTTTTCCTTGTTGCGATACGATTTCCTAGGAAATCCTACACATTTTCTACGAAGAGTTTTGCTCCAGTGGTCCTCTTCAAAAAGTTGCACGAAATCCTATGTTACGATGCTAGACTGATTTGTATATCTTAATTTCATATGATGGTGACTCTAGGCGTAGAGTGATAAATTTATGTTAGGCTCACAATGTCGACAACAAAATTCACAACTATGTCTGCTAATATTGAGATCCCTGATGAAATGATTCTATTTTTCCAAATGAACTGCAGATCGTTAAAGTAATATACGCTGTACTATTGAGGATCGGCAACAGATCACAAAGGATTTTTGTGCAGATCTCAGCATATAAGTTTCATGATGTATGTTGTCCACAGTAACGCCAATTTCTCGGTTACACAACACGCGTGATCCAGAAACGAATGGAAGCATAACACAACAAGGATCTACAGACACCAACAACCAAAGGAAAGCTCGCTGCTACTCTGCTGCTACCTGAACCACGCGTGAGCATCACACTGCACAAACGAAGTCGCCGCTGTTCTCGATGTCGATGTCATCGATATCGTCCAAATCAATGTCATCAAGATCCATGCTCCCGAGGCAGGGCAGGTGCCCGGCAAGGTTCACGGCGTCCCCAGGCTTCCGCGCCTCCTGGATGATCGCCATGACATCCTCCAGGCTTTGCCCCGGGGTGTTCGTGTCAGCCAGCTGCGTGCTCTGCTGGTACTCGTCGGTCATCTCGATGGGCAGGTTCTTGAGGAACCACGGGTGGTTCTTGATCTCGGGAATGGTTATTCTCTGCAGCGAGGCCAATTATGAGCGTAACAGATTACTGGAAGATGATGGAGCTTGGCACTTGTAAGCTGAATTATGTCAAGAGAAAAAAAAGGTACCTGCTCAGGATTTCCAACAAATATCCGAGACAGCAGATGCCTGCACTCCGCTGAAACGCGAACATAGTCTGGAATTGAGTATTGTACGCTGAGTATTCTCTGTGCAAGACACCGACGAGTTCCATATCATTGTCCCGATTTACTACTAAACAAAAAAGTTTTTTGGTTTTCGCGAACACCATAAAAGCAGGGTATTGGTGTACTCACAGTGATAGTCTTGCGGAAGTTCTTTGGGTCATCAGGGTCTTCAAAAGGATATGCGCCGACGAGCATCACATATAGTGTTACTCCACAAGACCAAACATCAGCAACCTAATATTTCACATGTGGTGTTTCAAGGTTTCAGTTGCAATGCTTAGAACATCAAAGCAATGAACTAATACAACAGACATTACCTTTCCATCATACTCTTTTCTAGAGAGGACCTCTGGAGCAATATATGCAGGTGTGCCAACAGTTGATTTCGGTTGAGAGTGCAGCACAGAAGACTGAAAATGGAAAGGACCCCAAAGGAAGGTAGTAGTGTAGGTGATGAAAAATGCCACCTTGAGAGACTACTATATATAATCTGCACAGGAATTACCTTGGAGTAACCGAAATCACAGATCTTGAGCCGAGGTGCAACACTACCATCTAAGAGAGTGTTTTCTAGTTTCAGATCTCTATGACATACTTGCTGCAGGGCAAACAGATAAAGAGTGGTACTGAGTTAGTAATGTTCGACCAAAGCTGCTACCTGCAAGCAACTTGCCAGAATCTGTACCATGGAATGACAATAGCTCACTCCCGAAATCAGTTGTTGGAAGAAGAACCTTGCCTATTAAGAGTAAGGAGTAATCAGTCGATGTAATGGCATACCGCATACGCTCTCACAACAAAAGACCAAAAGCCTGTGGAAAACATTCTTTACCTCATCCTCACTAAATCTCCCCGCATTGCAAATTCTTTCAAATAGCTCACCCCCGGCAGCATATTCCATAACTATTGCCAAATGTGTGGGAGTTAGCACTACCTGAAAAACTAAGTACTACTTTAATTTTCAACCGAGAAATGATTTTTGATGATTAAGCCTTGACAATCAGTCCAAAGCAGGTGTTCAATGATGAAATGGAAAGAAATAGCAGATAGAGTTAGAGATAAGTACAAGACAGAGACAATTCCTTCATTAAAAAAAAGAGATAAGTATAAATGGTAAATGAATGGGGTTCTAAGAGTCACATAACAATAAAAGATATCTAAAAACGTGCAGTTACCAGCACGCTATTCACAAGTGTCGCTCAAACATCTCGTTCAACAGGCAAAGAGTATAAAAGGAGCCTTGATGACAATGTGCATTACTGCTGTAAATACATTACACAATGACAATGTGCTGAAATGTCCTGGCATTGTAGATAACAAATAAACTTGTTGAGTAGTAGTAGTACGAAAAGCTCCAAGTGGTAAGCCAAACTAAGCATAATATAATTTTAAAGGAGAGCCTAACTGGTCCCACTAGGGAAAAAAAATAGAAGTACTAAGTACCCTGGTTAGCCTGTTTGACTTTTCTAACACTCAGGCGCACAGCCACATAAACCACTGGAGTCGCCATCAGACGAACCCTCAGAAGTCTGCAAGTAGACTTTCACGTTACATATTCCATTTATGATTTATCCCTGTACCGGAAATAAAGGACTACAGATAACCATCACTTTCTATCTGGAATAGGTCTTTGTGGGGAAGAGGAGAAATAGTTGCACATTGACATTGCACACGAATGCTGATCAGTTAGTCATTGTACTCTAGTTGTTACAATTAACAACTTGAAACCATAAGAACAGAAACACATTTGTATTTTTTCTTCTTTAAAAAGCATCAAAAGTAACAGTTTCAAGACACTTACGTGTGTAGCTATCAATCACACAACTTCAAACTCATATCAGAACATTTCCTTTCCAAGATGTCTGAGAAATTTACCTCCTTGAATCTAATTATGTTTGGGTGCTTCAGGGACCGGTGGTTCATAATCTCCCTCTGAACATGTTCATCAATCTATGAGACAAGAAGAAAGATGTGGAATTGATTAATCAGCTGAGCTAGATAATGTTCAAGGTCCTTTGGAACGGCAGGGAATCAGTTCGTTTTTCATATGAAAAATGCAGGAGCAGTAAAAAAATCCGTGTTCCAAAGTGGGCCAATGTGCAATATGATGATTACATGAAGGATCCTCCAAGCAAAAAAGTAACTTGTAAAGGGAAGTATAGATAAACTTGACAACGTGTGACCACAGCAGCTGGCATAAAGTATAGAGAAAGAAATCCGAATACTACTCTATATTATATTCAGGCGATGGACAGAGCCTCACAAAAAGAGAAAAGAGCAATGGACAGCGTAGCATACTAACTGTAGCGTCAATTAATGAACTCGACCGTGTTCACAGGTATGCATGAACAGATCACACATATGCTAGAAACATCTACCAAAAGATAGTATTAATCTAATCTAGGAGAACCATCCAATTAAAGTAAAGGAAATGATCTCTAATAGTACAGTTTAACATGTTCCAGGCTGATATTGAACTGTATGGAAAAACAATCACTGAAAGCAAATGCTACTTTGGAATTTTTAGTATAACGGAAAGTTACTAATAGAACAGTTCAGTTCTGGTAGCTTCCTTGAGGCTAATGCCGTACGCAAGACTTGGCTTTATTAAACCATCACGTGTACTCAATGATCAAGGAGGTCTCCGGTCAAGCAAGAATGAATTGACCAATTACACAAGCCGTCAAGTTGCGATTTAGCCAGGGAAAAGGGGGCCAAAACTACCGGGAAGTGAAGTCTCCCTGTACACTATCCGCCAGTTTTTTGTTCTTGGAAAAACTTTGTGATAAAAACTTTGTAAAAGAGAAAGACAAGACGTATCATATAAAACAAAACGGGATACTAATCAGTACCCTGAATGAAGAAGAAGGAAAAAAAAAAGCTCTGACAAGCATAACAAAATCACTCGGCCGATGCATCTGTGGTCTCGAACGTGGAGCGGAGACCTCCGTCTGATGGATCTGAAGGCCGCTGAGGTTTCAAGACAAAACTGAAACCCCAACATTTTGGAGGGGTCCGCGTTCGCGATCAGACGACGCAGAAGAGACGAAGCAGCAGGCTAGTGCGCAACAGAGCAGGTGTTGATCAGGCTAGTGCGCAGCAGAACAGGTGTTAACCCACCCAGCGCACAGTACTACCCAAGAACACCAGCTGCTGCGTAGTATGCGCACGGCACCAAGGAGCCTCGTTGGGGGGGGAGAGAGATGATCTTTGAGGTGGGTGGGACGGGAAGGAAAAGGAAGGGCGGGCGATGTTCTTCAAAAGAAAAAGGGCGGGCGCCGGGCGATTGATTTGCGATTACCTTCTGACCTCTCTCGATGAACTTGACGGCGAAGCGCTCCTTGGTGGTGACGTCCCGGACGAGCTTGGCCACCCCGAAGCTGCCCGACCCGATGTCCCTGATCACCTCGTACCGCTCCATCGCAGCGCGAGATCGAAGAGGTGGGGGAGGCGACGGCCAGGCTAGCCGCAGCAGAGGAAGACAACGACGAAGGTGTGGGGTGGAGATTGGGAGTCTGGGGCTCTGGGCCCCGGTGGTGGTCGTGGTGGGAATGGTCCAGGAGTCGAGGTGGAGCTGAGTTTGAGGTCGGCACTGGGCAGCGAGCGAGCGAGGTGAGGAGAAAGAGACGTAGCCCTGTACTGTACCCCGACCACGTGTCGCCGCGCTTGCCGTCCGGGGTTGCCCAACCCCACCCGGTGGGCGCCGTCCGAGTCCATCAGCCTGTTCGCTCCTGAAACGATCGTGCTGCTGGCTAATTTAACGTGAAAAAAAATAATATTCTAACTTATAATTCATGTTTACGATCAAGTGAACATAGTTTTCGATATCTGATATTTTTAAACAAAACTTTATATACAGTTTTAAACTTAGCAACGATATCTGGTTTAAATTTTATATACTCACACTCGAGATTTGTATATTATTAATATATTCATGACAAAAAAATAATTTTTTATAGTAATTTGGTATAGATATTTTACGGAGTACAATTGTTTGTTTCCCTCCTTTCCAGAAACTAAATACTATCGTTTATTCTAAGGTGGAGTGTATATATTAACTAGATTCAGTAAGGTAAATGATGGTGGTCCGATTAATCAATCGTTCAGTTCCCCGGGGACTTTTGCCCACGCCATGCATACGTCTTGCTACAAAATAGCTAGCTGTTATTTGCGTCACGCCACAAGATTTCTACTAGTTGGTTTGGGTAGAGTATATACTTTCTGTCACAACCGTGGCTTCCAAATTATTAGTATACAGTACCCCTCGGTACTAAAAAAAAATAAAGTTGCTTTGACAGTGAGACGGTCTCTAAAGTATTACTTTAACTTCTTATTTTTATAAAAATATTTATCAAAAAATAATATATGTATATTTTTATGAAAGTATTTTTCAAGACAAATCTATTTATATGGTTTTTATATTTTCAAACTCAACCGCTTAAAAATTATTTATGATTTATATTTTTAATGTTTGATAAGCCTCTTTTAAAATGATTTTATTTTTTAGCACGGAGGAGTACAGTATGGGCGTCCGCGTGGAATCAGCCTTTCTCCTTCGTCCATCTGGCAGTTTTGACCGCCTAGCGCCGGTGAGTTTGCGCCTCCTCTGTCCGGTTGCCCGGTCGCGTGTGCCCTTCCCCACGCGCTCTAAAAAAAAGGATTTCCCAATCTACGATACACAAATCGGATGCATGGAATCCGTCGCCTCGCCCTCCTCGCTCCCTCCGTCAGCCCTTGCCAGCTCCGCTCCATTCGGCCGCAGCTTCGCCTCCCGCCTGCTCTGTCCTGCTCCCCTCCAGGCCTCCACTCCACCACGCCCGTCGCCCCACCTGCTCCAGCCGCCGCCGCCGCCGCCGCCGCCGCCGCCGCCTCCTCGCACATCTGGACATACACCAGCGCCGTAGGCGGTGGAACTCGGAAGACGCGCTGGAGCGTAGGTTAGATTCGCACAACTATCAAGGGCAGGGGCGTCGGTGCTCGGCAGCTGGGCTCCGACGTGCGCGACGTCAGGCGGGGGTGGCAGCGGCGGTTAGAGGACGGGTCGCGCTCGCTCCTCGACTCCTCCGCTTGCCTGTTGCACCGTCGCGGGCCACGGCGGACCCGTCACCGCGTCGTCATCTCTCTCACGCCGCATCCCCTGGCATCGGCGCGCGGGGTGGTCGTGGCGGCGCAGCTACGGGAGTGTGCGGAGGCGTCTACTTGCGCGTTCGTTTCCGGCACTACCTGCAAACCAGGACGATACACAGGTTGTGCATCCCCATCTCTCTGCGGCTCTGCCTAACTGTCCATGGCCTTGGGAGTTGGGAGCTTCGGGACCAAGTGATTTACCTTGATTTCTTCTTCAATTGATGTATATATATGTTCTTGGATTGATGTATATATTTCTTGCTCTTTGTGTTTCAGATCATGTATCTTAGCTGCTCGACACTGTCCAGAGGAGGGCCCTGCAGTTGTTGCCTCAGAACGCGAGCGTAGCGCGCACCATGTGTTTGCTTCATTGCCTCAACCAACACCTACCCTGGTTCGTTTAATACTATTTAATTTGCTGCAGCCTGCTTTCGATATTGGTGCTGGAGCCTGGAGGGATGCCGAGTTACTCACCAATGTGTTTCGACAGGACTTTGCTGGTCTGCATTGCCACACACAGAATTCCTAATGCGAAGACATCTCCCAAAACAAGTTTTTTTTCTCCCTTTGCTGCTCAAGGCTGTTCCAGACACAATTAGTGAACCTCAGCAACAGTTTGAAATAAGTCACCTTATTCTCAAAGGCACGCTGTTAAGGTCCTTCTCTTTGCTTCTTTTCTTTGGATAGCATGTTAGGCTATGCATGCATGACCAGAAAAATTATCTTTGTTGTCAATGCAATCGGTAACTATTTAGCTGTCAGGACTCAGGATACTTCTGAGAAATGCCCAACTGTTCATTATGTTATATATATCTATTGAGGTCTGATTGCTAGGCAGTACTGCTCTCACATAATACAACAATGGAAGGATACATAACAGTGTCCATGCCCCAGCTAAAAGGAGGGACTCTATACCATGCTTTGAATTTTTTCAGGCTGTCAATGCTCACACATAGAACTCAACTATTGGGCACCCTTATCTGATAACTTCATTGCCCGTACAAAGGTATATATAGGATCAAAACCACAGTGCCTCATTTACACAAGTATGCTTATTGCTTTACTCTGCTAGATACTTCTACAAAAATATTAGTTTACAAGCGGTTTGCTCAGCTATTTTTAGGAGATCCCCGCTGCAACCGACCTTAGAGAGGCGGTAAGAAGCACCTGGTCAAGGTTGGGCCCGAGAGAGACCAGCAGGGGTGCGCCCGCACCCTGCTTGGCCCACCTTGAGCCCAGTTTCGTCGAGGGATATTCTCGGTCTTCTAGAGTGGCCCTGTGGAGGTTTTGCGCCAATTGGAGCTGGTTTGATCTGGATTTGATCTTGTTCTCCACCTTGTTGGACCTTGTTTTGCTTGGTTGTGGGCCTTCTCCCCCTTGGGCTTATGTCGGGTATATATTTTGCTAAGTTTCTTGTACACTTTAGGCTCATTTTTGTGTAATCCCAACATGTCCTCCTGAAAATGGTAAATCACCAAAACTCGTGGAATTAATTAGTTTTAAAGCCCTATGTTTAGGCTTAGTGTTTATTTTAGCAGTTTTTATATGAAAGTTGACGGTTAGAAATGTTAGTTAAGCACCACCAACAAGCTCCCACACACTTACCCCTTTGCTTGTCCTCGAGCAAAGTCAGAGATGAAAGTAATCATGAGCAAAACATTCTAAGATATATGGCTTACATGAAAGTTATTCCAACACATTCTTTACACAAGTGGGATTTGTGGCGTTAGCTAACATGTTTCCTTGGGTTGAAAAACGGAACAGTTCTTGAAACAAAGTCATCTTTCCAATTTCACATCTTAGCAACTTGGAGTTTTGAAAGTTTTTATCAAAAAGAAATGCTTAGTGGTGAAGCTGGGAACTACACCATTGTTGATAGCTGCTGGATGAGTTCTCACGGTCGAGCTTGTGACCATAAACAAAGCACTACTGGGAGATACCCCGGATTATCATAAAAATATATATGATTATCATTTAAAAAAATGTTCTTTTTAATAAAAGAAAGAACATGTTGTCAAGTGAGTATGCACCTTCGGGTATTCTTGGTTACTAACCCTTTCAGGTTGAGACAAGAAGAACAAGGTACATATGATGCTAAAGAACATGGGAGCTCCATCAATCATACACGTCCATGTTCTCTTGTGATGGAACACACTCAAAGGGAGACCCTCGACATTGCACACTTGACTTTTACACAAAAGTCCAAGTGTGGAGGAGGTGAAAATCTCACTACAAAGTTCCATCCACAAAAGGCCATCTTGAGTTAAAAAATGATGTCAGCTCTACTTTGCCATAAGAGAGAGAGAGTAGAAGAAAAAAATCTATTATAAAAAAAAGAGGATGATAAAAAAAGGGAAAGAAAAAATATATAGAAAAAGAAAAAGAGAGAAGGAGCATTCTCCTCTTCTAGACCTTTGCACTAAGGCCCATGATCCATACACACTAGTTATGCGGCCTAGCCTTATGGCTCACCTGAGTTGGACCATGCATACTCATGCAACTGTTGCAGCAACTTTAACTTCCATCTACATATGCTGCTGGTAAGTAAACTCAGTTATGCAAAGGCAAATAAATGTTCACCAACACTGTTAATCATGTTTATCTCCAAGAAAAATATAAACTTGTCCATACTAGTTCATGCTTCCTTTGTTCATGACATATCGGGTTTGGATGTATTCACTCGAGGAACATCCATAGGCGTTTTAAATTAAGCATGATGCTTAGGTTAAAATAGCCTTCATTAATAAAAATTTAACATGGTGTTGAAATTTGATTAATGAACTTTGAGTATTACTTTCATAAACAATAGAAATAATCTACTATGGAGATGAATCAAGGCTATGTTTACTTTTGCAAACTTTACCTTAGCCTTGTATATGCTAAATGGTAAAAAGGTGGGTGAACACGTAACATAAAATAAAATAAAATATAATAATAATAATAGTAATAATAATAATAGTAATAATAATAAATAACAAAAAATAAAAGTAATAATAATTATAATAAAATTAAGGCTCCTCAGCGTTTCAACGAGAAGAGCTCTTGTCTGTTTTTTTTTTGTTTTTCTTTGTTAAATAAAAGTAAGTACAACAATAAATGTGGGGGAGATCTCTCAAGCAAGACGAACACACATTCGAGATCTCTCACCAACACGTTATACAAACATCGACTGATCCAACATGTAGAAGGACAGGACAAATGGCTCAAGAGAGGATTGGCTGAACTTTTGGTTTAGCCAAACCACCTCTGACTCAGCTCCTTCTCTTCAATGGTGGTTTGTGCAACGCTACCCTC